CAAGGATCCCAATCTCGTAGCGCCACCTGTAGCTGTATAAAGAAAATATAAACTCTGTATAATACAGTAATAAGTGTAATGAATCTAAGTTTCAAATGGACAGCAACTGCCTGTTGTAGAAACCTACAGGTCTGAATACGAAAGGCGGAAGACTTTCGAGACGTCGTCTTCTACATTTGTAGGTTTCTACACAAGGCAGTTGCTGTCCATTTGAAACTTAGATTCATTACACTTATTAATGTTTTATACAGAGTTTATATTTTCTTTATACAGCTACAGGTGGCGCTACGAGATTGGGATCCTTGTAGATCGAGAATCGGTAAGTTTAAAAAATGTTTGTTTGTTGTTGTTTTTATTTCGCACAAAGCTACACGAGGATTATCTGCGCTAGCCGTCCCTAATTTAGCAGTTAAGACTAGAGGGAAGGAAGTTAGTCATCACCACCCACTGCCAACTCTTGGGCTACTCTTTAACCAACGAATAGTGGGATTGACCGCACATTATAACACCTCCACGGATGAAAGTGCGAGCATGTTTGGTGTGACGGGGATCCGAACTCGCGACTCTGAAATTGCGAGTCGAGCGCCCTAACCACCTGGCCATGCCGGGTCCTTAAAAAAAATTAAATGAGTATAATAAACATTCTTTTAGTTTTACATTTAAAAAGTATTTTAAGAATTCCATCCGGGTACATTATTCAGTTGGTATCCCAGATGGCACTTGGAATATCTGGTAACAGGTGGTAAATTTGATTCATTCTAGTAAAATATGCATTTTTGGTTAACATTTTTAGTGTGCTTTAAATTTTGTTTGGGGTAAAATGGAGCATTAAGTCAAACTATTTTTTTAGATAGTAAAATTGTGTTGTGAAATGGTGTTAACATGGATAGAGAATAAAACTTGCTATTTTTCAACAGTTCAATATACCAAGATGGTTAGCATAAAACGTTTTTAATTTTTGGTTTTATTCCAACTTAATTACTTAAGTTCATTTTGAAGAACAATTTCAGAGGTTGATATAGGCACCTCTTTAGATTTCTAGTACAATAAAATTATCTTTTTTTTTGCAAACAAGTAAAAAAGCCTGACGTTTTATAAATGTTTAGAAAAAAAACACTTCGCAGCTTGTAGTTTCAAATTTAAACCTAGCAAAAAAAAACACAAGACTTATCTCATTATAATACTGTATTAATTAAATTAATAATACTGATAATAATTTAAAATAATGTACAAAAAAAAAGAGCATTGTAATTTGTTATTCAATTCTGAAGAACTTTTGCTGACGGCTGGGGAGTGCTTGATGATAAAAAAACTATTGTGAATCCAGATAGAATATTATTCCATTTCGAACCAAAACGTTCAACTTATAACGAAATGTTTACTATTTGGGGTATCAATGTACGTACTCAATGAACTTTTGAAAGAAGAGAATGCCACTATAAATGAATATTGTTAACATATGACGAAACAGTTTTCATAGCCAGTGACCATTTAAACAAATAATTAATGAAAGTTTCATTACAAACAATCCGTTTTAACTTATGATAATATAGTTCATCATTATTGATGAACCCCGTGATTCCTGAATCAATGGTAATCCATTCATCCGTTCTTGATGAATACTTATAAGTTATAATGTCGTTCTTTAAAACGACCCCCTTTAAAACCACCGTAGGACAAAATATCATTTCTTTCGAATCTCTTTCATATCCAATAGAAGATGCTTTTATTCCTAATAAATCTTCTATTAGGATATATTTCTTAATGAACACTTTTGGCTACCGACCATATAATGGAAAGGAACGTCTTTTACAATGAGCCTCATTACCGTAACATAGAAATATGTGCCAGATTTTATTAATATTTTAATTTATGATGGAAAAGGATGTTCTTGAAGAATTTTCTGAATTTTAATCGAAGACAATATCAAAAACTGATTGAACATAGAGGTTCTGTTAACCTAGGATAGACCAGTACGACATTCTAAATGTATTTTCTGAAATAGTTAAGAAAAGGAATTCTTGTTTTAATCAAATTTTTGACCTCATGAGGGAAGAATGTATCATAGAAATCTGAATGAACCTTCTGAATCCACGATGGAAGAAGATGTCACTGCTAATGAACAATCTGGATCTATAGTGGGAGAAAGAACTATTCTTAAGACACTCTGCTAACTCTTGAAGATGTCGTTCTCAACAAGAATACTGACCTACAGCTAAGGATTTTGACGTTCCTAAATAAAAACATTGAACACATAATGGAAGTTTATGCCGTTCCTAATGATCCCACTGAATAGGTAGTGGAAGATGATGCCGTTTTTAATGAACCCACTGAACAGGTAGTGCAAGACAGTGCCGTTCCTAATGATCCCACTGAATAGGTAGTGGAAGATGATGCCGTTTTTAATGAACCCACTGAACAGGTAGTGCAAGACAGTGCCGTTCTTAATGAACCCACTAAAAAGGTAATGAAAATGATGCTGTTCCTAATGGATCCACTGAATAGGTAGTGGAAGATAGTGTCGATTTTAATGAAACCAATGAACAAATAGTGGAAAATGATGCTTTTACTAATGAATCCACTAAATAGGTAGTGGAAGATGGTGCCATTCTCAGTGTACCCACTGATAAAGTAATGAAGACGATGCCATTTCTAATGAATCCATTGAACAAATAGTGGAAGATGATGCCGTTACTAATGAATCCACTGAACAATTAGTGGAGGATTGTGCCATTTCAAAAATGAATCCACTAAATAGGTAGTGGAAGATGCGTCCGTTTCTAATGGATCCATTGAACAGATTATGCTATTACTAATGGACCCGTTAAGCGCTCTGTTCTAAGTACCACAGTGGAATGATGTAATATTTTACCTTTCCGTCTCGTGAATACCTGAGTCTCTTGAATTGCGGTTTTTAAAAACTTTAATATAATTCACAAGTAACACGACAGATTTTTTTATCAAGTCCAAAACTTTAATAACAAGCTTTCATCTCTATCTCGGACAGTCATTAAGTGTGTAAAGTTTTTAACGTAGAGAAACCAGAATCTCTTGTTTAATACCTAACGGTTGTGGGAATAGTGACAACAATACGTTATTGTAGCAGAGTTTAGCATTACTTGATTATATATGTATTCATTCTTTTATATAGGAAATATTTTCAGTAAGCAGCTGTGGACCAAGTATGAAGAATATCAAGATCATCTGACTTTTGTGGCAGTCCCGTGAGTTGATAATACTATATTTTATTATGTTGATTATTACATATGTAAGGAAAGTCAAATAACTACGTCTAAAATACGTTATATTAGTACTTCTAAGTTTAGTGAAAGTAAAAAAATAATCAAATAATTATAACTTTGAGAGATCGATAACTTTGACAAAATTCTGAAATAATTCCAATCAGTTTAATAAAACATAGGACGCTTTCTAAGCATCAGTATCTGTTATTCATGTATTAACAGTAGCAGTAGGAAAACAAAAAGTTATATGTATATATAAATTATTTGTCAAGAGATGGCGACACAATCTAGTTAATACTGTTTTGAACTGCGACATCGCTTTGTTCTTAAAATGAATGACAAATACACATATAATTAAAACATCTTGGTTTACGTAAATACACAAGGGCACAATACTCTGTGTATAACGACACACTAAAAATCAAATGTTAAGATATATTTTTCAAAATTAAGCCTTTTCATTCGGCTTGGGCAGGTGCTGTCCCCAAAATTTATAGTCCAATTTTATTACTTAAGTATTTTTTGAGTTTAAATTAGCTCATAAACATTTCAGTTTCTTTAAATATTCGACTTAACAGAACTAAGGTTTAAACATTATTAACATGAAAGCTTCGTTGTCAGTTCTTTAAACATCCATTTTTCGTTTCAAACTTATATTTTTACTTGTTACACATACACAACCTGGTGTATCTATTAAGACTGAAATAATTTTATTAACGAATAGCGCTGCACCTGAACTTCCCAGTCAATGGCTGACAACTTCAACCATGATTACTAAGTGTACAGCATGTGGGTTTTTCAACCAAGGATAACTCGTCATTGGCCTTTGATTAATAACCTATCAAACAACAAGCTCTGAAAGTAGGACATAATTAATGACTCATTTGCATGATAGTTATAATTTATTAGTGAAGGAAATTTCTATTTCTAATTAAAAACGTAAATTACTTATGTGAACGTACAATTCATAACGCAATCTAAAGTTTTCGGTAAATCCAGGACGCGCAAGACGACGTCCGATGTTCACTGTTTCTTTTTCATTCATACTTCTGAGCAAATCATTTAATCAAGTTAAAAGTCGCTATTTTTGATACACCGACAGAACGACCCAATACACAGAAGCTTGAAAATAATTGATGAATTGTAATATGGAAACCAAATCACAGTGAAATAGTGGTAACAAATATATATTTTAAATACACAATATATTTGCACATACATAATAAACTTAACAAGATATATTATAAAACAATTTAAAATTCAAAACGATTCTAATAGTAATTACATACTTAAGGATTAAATTAGCTCTCAACCAACAAAAGAAACTTGCATTATAAGCAAATATGCGTTGCAGTAATTCAACTTGAAAATGTTGATCCAGACCACTGATGTGGAAAACAAATATTTATAAACAAGTGGCTTGTTACTTGCTTTTGATAGTATTTACCTCTATTTCTGGTAATGTTAGAGTATAATATTCGTATATTATTCTAACTATCAGACAAAAGAAGACGAACTTTCATCCAAAGATGTTTAATCGTTGTTTGTAGTATAAATGTCCAGCTTAATCTCAGATTGTAAGTAGTGTGTCTTTCAAAAACGCGTCTGATTACTCGCAATGTCAATTTCTTTCCTTGTCACATAGAAGACAAAAAAGCTGTTAACGATTTTTATTTCTCCTAAGCCTAACTCATTAATTTTATTACTTCCATTTTTCAATGTTTTCTACCATCTGCTAACTGTTTTATTTTCTGATAGTTTGCTGAAAGAAAAGGAGGCCAATGACAATGAGTTTACGACCTTATGCCAACAACGACAGGGAGCTACAAAATATTCTCTTCAAGATTTGTTATTTCTCCCGGTAGGTAGTGCTGCAGTTTTAATATAGTTTTGTTTAATTATAGTATTTTGGCACTTGTATATAAAGTTAAAATCATAAATAATATTCAACGTTAAACTGGTACAGAATTAAAAACATATTATTTAGGCCTATCTATGGCCTTCAAAAAGTTGACGACCTTACATGTTTCGACGTTACAACGTCATCCTCAGGAGTGTGACCATCGCAAAAAAAATAACTAACCCAGAATTTTAGCGTTATAAGTCCTCAAACTTATCGCTGAGTTAATGGGGGACTAGAGAAAGCAGATGCATATTTATGAGCGGTATAAGTTTTGGAGTAAATAAAATGAGAAAGAAATAGAGTATAAAATGTACTTTTAAGGCTCTATTTCAGTACTGACCGAATAATAAACGGATACGTTAATTTTGCTGATTTTTATGCGAATTAGCGAGTTATTTCGTACATAGTTTGAACACAATTAATCGTCATTCCTTACACAATAGTGTGTTTATTGGATTAAAAACAACAACGGAATTTGCTTCCTTAGGCCGAATCAATTACGACCGCGCGATTATCAAAAGATTGTTTGTTTTGAAGTTAAGCTCAAAGCTACACAATGGGCTATCTGTGATCTGCCCACCACGGGTATCGAAACCCGGCTTCTATCGTTGTATGTCCGCAGACATACCGCTGTGCCACTGGGGGCTTATCAATAGCAATAAATTGCATTAACCATAGTAATAATGAGCTGTAAGGTTAAGTTATTCCTGTTTTTCTCTATGGCTAATTGATTCCGTCTGTCACACGGAGGATTAGCGGTAATTTTACGGACTCATAAGTCTAAAATTCGGGGTTCTTTCCCCTCGGTGGACAAAGCGCAGGTAGCCCATTGTGTAGCTTTGCGCTAAAACAACAACAACTGATTACATATAAATTTCACATGTGTATTAATCATGTTTTTCCTAGAAAGGTAGGTAATTGCGAAACCACATGTAACTTGTTTTTTGTTTGGGGTGAATTACGATACCTTTCACAATGAATAGGATAACACAATCAGAAAAAGCTGCTAATAGCACTTTTGCTCTACTCGTGAATAAAGCACAAATCTATTCCATTTACGCTAAAAACCAGTATTTTTATTAAGCAGCTTTCTAAGAAAGTGGCTTAGAATTGTTTAACCAAATATAATGATAATGCAAATTTTAGCTATCGAGATTTAAAAAGTTAAAATACTATATTCATAAGAAATCGTGAAGTTTTATTGTTCCCTAAGTAACTAGCTTTACTTCCTGAGTCTGCCTGAGATATGATTTTATTAAGCTTAAACGCCTCTTCCTGAACTACGTTTTTAATTAGTATTTTCACGTGAGAGTACCGCTAAGTTTGACCAACATATTAATGTATATTGTTTACCTGGAGAAATGAAACATTCGGTGTATCAACGTGTTAACTGGTTGCCTTCAAATATTGTGGAGGCAATAAATTTAAGTGAGTTTAAGAGAAAGCTTGATAACTATAAGAATGATAAGGGCTGGCTATAAGGTTTATTCATTTTATTTAATTTTTAGTTTTATTTAGAGGATGTGATAGCCTAGATGGATCAATAGGTCCCTTGTTGTCCCTAAACATTATATTATTATGATATGTTTTGCACAGCGGTATGTCTGCGATACCCGTGGTGGGCAGAGCACAGATAGCCCATTTGTGTAGCTTTGTGGTTAATTACAAACAAACAAACATTATGATATGTTATGTTAATAAGAACTTCCGAGTCAAAGTAAAAGAGAGTGTATGACAATATGGCAATTACACTATAACAGTTGGCTCGGCATGGCCAGGTGGTTAGGGAGCTCGCAATCTGCGGGGCGCGGGTTCGAATCTCCCTCAGCCGTGGGGGCGTTATAATGTGACGGTAAAAGAGTAGCCGAAGAGTTGACGGTGGGTGATGATGACTAGCTGCCTTCCCTCTAGTCTTACACTGCTAAATTAGGGACGGCTAGCGCAGATAGCCCTCGTGTAGCTTTGCGCGAAATTCAAAACAAACACTATAACATTTATATCCCGAGATGACAAGGCCTTTCACCAGTACCAGGGATCTTCTGGCAGGCTGTGATACGACAGACACATTACTGATTTGTTAGGTCATTTCATTACAATCCTTCAAAAGTACTGGCGGGATACCAGAGGGTTACGTCCTCTATCGCCAAGAGGATGGACGTCTAATAGAGGTGGGGTGGAATATGCGCATAAAGTGTGGCGGTGTAGACTGCATTAAATTGTTTAAGTGTAATGTTACATGTTTTAATGTATTCACGAGATACACATCAATTTCCTTTGATGTGCTAGCGAGAGATATAAGTTTATGTACTCACGAAATGAATATCAATACAGTTTGTTGAGCTCACTGGCGGCATCTTTTGTTGTAATTTTTTACTACTTTAAACATTCTTTGTTTTTATCAGCTACATCCAAACAGTTTTTGTTGTTCATGTTACGTTTGAAAATTTTCTACTAAACTCATTACTTACTATTTCTTGGTACTCATTAACCCTAACTGAACCTTCCTTGTTATGCTCACTTGCCACATTTGTAAAATATTTGAGGTTCTTGCAATATCCTTTTTAACATCATTTACTGTGCTCACGGCTTATATTTATTATGTTTTACTGTCTTCAGGCTTAAATTTAATATATTTTACTGTGTTCAGGCCTAGATAATATCTTTTACTATGTTTAGGCTTACATTTAATATCTTTTACTGTGTTCACGGCCTAGATTTTAATATATTTTACTGTGTTCATGGCCTACATTGAATATATTTTACTTTGTTCAAGGCTTACATTTAACGTCTTTTACTGTATTCACGGCTTACATTTAACATCTTTTACTGTATTCATGGCTTACATTTAATATCTTTTACTGTGTTCACGGCCTAGATTTTAATATATTTTACCGTGTTCATGGCCTACATTGAATATATTTTACTTTGTTCAAGGCTTACATTTAATATCTTTTACTGTATTCACAGCCTACATTTAACATCTTTTACTGTATTCACGACTTACATTTAATATATTTTACTATGTTTACCGCCTACAGTAACATTTTTTACTATTCCCACTGCTTGCAATTAACATAATTTATTGTCTTCACGTGATGCAATTAGAAATTGTTAATTTTTTTTTATTACAAGTTAAATCTTTTACAGTAAGGAATATTATTTTTTAGAACAGGTATGACGTTTCGATCACTAATGCGATCATTCTCAAGTATACTTTGAAGACCTCTGCAGGAAAGTAATAATAGAATCAAATCGTAAATCCAATCAACAGCAACTAATCCCAAGTCCAAGACCACAAGAAGAATCTCCATCTCATTCATCGAAGGACAACGAAGAATCATCGGAAATATTCAACATTCCTAAAAACAAGAACAACTTGATGAGCAATTTTTCTACCAGTTGTACTTGAGAATCATCGTACCAGTAATCGAAACATCGTACTTGTTTTAAAGAATGATCTTCCTTACTGTAAAAGTTGTAACTTGTAGTAAGATAACACTTAATCAGTAAGTAAACTCAAAACAAAATTGTTAGTTATAGTCATAAGGTGCATGATCATAATTTTAAACTTTTTTTCAAATTGTTATTTGATGTTTATGTGACATTAGAAAATCGTTTCTCCACTTATGTGTCACATTTGGGCATCGGTTCTGGTGAGCTCACGACCTACTTATGACTACTTTTTGTTGTACTATCTAACCAATCTAGATCTGTACGTTTAATTATCTGTGCCAGGTTTGACATTATTTATTATACTAACTAGTCATCTACGGATACCCATTTTGTCCTTACTAGTCTCGGTTGGCCACTCTTTTTATATATTCACGAGGTACATTTGGAAATTTATTGTTAGTCACATTTGACTGTCTTGGCTGCACTTACTAATCCCATTTGTACATCCCTTCCTGTACCGACTAACTACATTTGCCCGTCCTTGTGATTCATGCTTTATTAATATATTTTCTGCTGTATTCTTGCTAGGTACATAGGATGGCTATACATGAGCGTTGTAGGTCTCTGTCCTGGTAGTTTAGGCTTCATGCTATATAAGGTGCTGCTCAGGTTGAAAATACCATTATCATCTACTTATTAGACTTATGCGTTGTTTTACTCCCATTTTCCCATTAAACGAACAAACAGGTCATTAAAATTTGTTATAAAAACAAATTAACTGTAGATTTTTTTATTACTTTCCTTTTAATTTATCATTGTGACTCGTCATCAAAGCTGCAGCAGACAATTTAAAGGAATGCGGATAAAAAAAACAACAACAGCAGCAACAACAAAAACACCTGCAGTTAACTTTTTTATAATAATTTCTAGGGCTATGGACTTTCCAATATTTCGGTGCCAATTGTCGTTTACAACGAAACAGGTCATTAGACTTAATTTAAGTAGCAATGTATTGTATCCATTTTTAAACAAATTTTTTTAAAGAAACATTGTTTGAACTATCATTGTTACTGTCATTTATCTTATTTAATCATTATTTTACATTTGTTAGCTGACAATTCAGTTTATAAAGTTTTAAGGCAATTTGCTGTTGTAAGCTATATTTCAGTGTTTGCTGGAGTGAGTTGCTAATCATTATGATGTAATAACCAAGAATCTTCGTCGAATATATAGATACGAGGGTAAAATATTTATAAATACCAGTGAAGTTAGTGATGTGATTGAGTATTCAGTGATTTTATGAGTTATGTTCGAGCGATTAGAGAAGAAATTCTGCAAATAACTTTTTCTTAGTTAAGTGTACTCACTATTAATGAAGATAAATTCCGTTAAACGTTATTAATATATTAGGCCTAATTTAGTATCTGTTGAAATGTTTTTTATTTCAATTTAGGCCTACAGGTTAAAGTAGCTGTAAAAAACGTTAAAAAAAAGAGATAAATTAATTTGCTGTTGTTACATGGACCACACTGCACATTATTTTTACCAAATAATCCAGAAGAATG